GATGACTTTCTAGAAACATACAACCTTCTAAGACTGAATCATGAAGAAATAGAAAATCTGAATAGACCAGTTACTAGTAAGGAGATTGAATCAATAATCAAAAATCTCCCAACAATCAAAGGTCCAGGACCAGATATCTTCACTGAGGAATTCTACCAAACATTTAAAGAAGATTTAATACCAATTCTTCTCTAACTCGTCCAAAAAATTGAAGAAGATGGCAGCCTTCCAAATTCATTTTATGAGTTTACTCTGACACCAAAACCAGGCAAGGACACCACAAAAAAGAAAATTACAGGCCAATATCCATAACGACCTTAATGAACATAGATGCAAAAATCCTCAACAAAATATTAGCAAACAAAATTCAGCAATACATTAAACAGATCATACACCGTGATCTAGTGGGATTTATTCCAGGGATGTAAGGATGGTTCAACACCCACAAATCAATCAACATGATATATCACATTAACTAAATGAAGGGTAGAAATCATATGGTAATCTGAATAGATGAATAAAAAGCACTTGACAAAATACAACATCTGTTAATGATAAAAACTCTCAACAAGGTGGCTATAGAGGGAACATAACTCAACATAATAAAGACCATATATGACAAACTCAGAGAACATCATACTCAATGGTAAAAAGCTGAAAGCTTTCCTCTAAGATCAGGAATAAGACAAGGATGCCCATTCCCACTACTTTTATTCAAAGTAATTGGAAGTCCTAGCCACAGCAATTAGGCAAGAAAAAGAAATAAAAGGCATTCAAATTGGAAAGGAAGAAGTAAAACTGTCACTATTTACAGATGACATGATACTATATAGAAAACCCTAAAGACGTCACCAAAAATCTGCTAGAACAAATAAATTTAATAAAGCTGCAGGATACAAAAATCAATCCACATAAGCCTGTGGTGTTTCTATACATTAATAATGAACTATCAGAAGGAGAAATTAAGGAAACAAACCCACTTACAATTGCATCAAAAAGATTAAAATATCTAGGAATAAATTTAACCAAGGAAGTAAAAGACCTTTACACTGAAAACTATAGTACATTGATGAAAGGTATTGAAGACGACAGAAATAAATGAAAAGATATTCCATGCCCATGGATCGGAAGAAATAATATTGTTAAAATGTCTGTACTACCCAAAGCAATCTACAAATTGAATGAAATCCCTATTAAAATTCAATGGCATTTTTCACAGAACTAGAATAAATAATTCTAAAATTTCTACAGAACAACAAAAGGTCCAGAATAGCCAAAGCAATCTTGAGAAAGAGGAACAAAGCTAGATGTATCACAATCTCTGATTTCAAACTATATTATAAAGCAATAGTAATCAAAATAGTATGGTATTGACATAAAAACAGACACACAGATCAATGGAACAGAATACAGTGTCCAGAAATAAATCCATGTAAGTATGGTCAGTTAATTTCTCACAAAGGAGCCAATAATATACAATGGAGAAAAGACTGTCTCTTCAATAAATGGTGTTGGGAAAACAGGACATCCACATGGAAAAGAATAAAACTGGACCAATATCTTACACCGTACACAAAAATTAAGTCAAAATGATTTACGACTTGACTGCAAAACCTGAAACCATAAAATTCCCCCCTAAAAAATCATAGACAGTAAGCCCTTTGACATTGACATCTTAGTGATGTTTTTGTGGATATAATAGCAAAGGCAAGGGAAACCAAAACAAAAATAAACAAATGGGATACATCAAAATGAAAAACTTCTGCACAGTGAAGGAAATCATCATCAAAACAAAAAGGCAACCTACTGAATGGGAGAAGTTATTTCAAGTCACATATCTGATATATCCAAAATATATAAAGAATTCATATAACTCAACAATGAAAAAATAAACAACTAGATTAAAAGATTGGCAGAGGTTCTGAACAGACATTTTCCCAAAGAAGACATACAGATGGACAACAAGCACAGGAAAAGATGTACAACATCACTAATTATTAGGAAAATACAAATCAAAACCACAATGAGTTATCACTTCACACCTGTTAGAATGGTTATCATCAAAGAGACAAGAAATAACATGTGTTGGTGAGGCTATGGAGAAAAGGGAAGATTCATACCTTGTTGGTAGGAATGTAAATTGGTGCAGCCATATGAACAACAGTATGGACATTCCTCAAAAAATTAAGAATAGAACTACCATATGATCCAGCTATTCCACATCTGGGTATTTATCCAAAAAGTATAGAAATACTAATTTAAGGAGCCGGCCCAGTGGCATAGTGGTTAAGTTCACATGCTCCGCTTCGCCGGCCTGGGGTTCACAGGTTCGGATCACAGGTGTGGACCTACACACTGCTTATCAAGCCATGCTGTGGCAGGCATCCCACGTATCAAGTAGAGGAAGATAGACATGGATGTTAGCTCAGGGCCTATCTTCCTCAGCAAAAAGAGGAGGATTGGTGATAGAGGTTAGCTCAGTGCTAATCTTCCTCACACACACAAAAAAACCTCACTAATTAAAAAATATACATGCACCCCTATGTTCATCACAGCGTTATTCAAAGTAGCTGAGACTTGGAAACAACCAAAGTGCCCATCGATGGATGAATGGATAAAGATGTGGTATATGTATACAATGGAATACTACTCAGCCCTAAAAAAATGAAGTTTTGCCATTTCTGACAACATGGATGGACGTTGAGGGCATTATCCTAAGTGAAATAAGTCAGATGGAGAAAGAAAGATACTGTATGATTTCAGTCATATGTGGAAGATAAAAAGAAAACAACAGCAACAACAAATGAACATATAGACACAAAGAACAGATTGGTGGTTACCAGAGGGGAACAGGGGAGGGGAGATGGTGAAAGGGGTAAAAGTGTACATGTATATGATGATGGATATCAATTAGACTTTGGGTGGTGAACATGATGTAGTCTACACAGAAATTGAAATATAGTGATGTGCAACTGAAATCTATATAATGTTATAAACCAATAAAAAAATACAAAGTGATCACCACCAAAAGCTTAGTTACCATCCATCACCATACAATTGACCCCCTGCACCCATTTCACCCACCCACCAACTTCTTTTCCTCTGGTAAGCACCAATCTCTTCTCTGTTTCTATGAGTTTGTTTTTGTTTTTTAGATTCCGTGTATGAGTGAAAAGGGACCTCTCATACTCTGTGGGCAGAAATGTAAATTGGTGCAGCCATATGAACAACAGTATGGACATTCCTCAAAAAATTAAGAATAGAACTACCATACGATCCAGCTATTCCACTGCTGGGTATTTATCCAAAGATCACTTTACATTGTATACAGGTGTCTAATTATAATGTTGCACACCTGAAACTTAATGTTATAGATCCAACTTTGCCTCAATAAAAAAGTAATCAATAAAGCAAACAAAAAGATTTAAAGTGCTGTGACAAATAGAAAACAAAATATAGAATGGTAGCTAGATCATCAAATATAACAGTTACATTAAATATATTGGATGTATATGGACTTAATAACTCTAAGAGGAAATATTTTTGCACTTTAACAAAATATCCACCTATGTGTTTATTATAATGGGATACATTTAAAACATAAGAAGAGGAAAAAGATTATAAGGAAAAAAAATAAAATGCAAATAATAACCAAAAGAAAGCTGGTATAGCTATGTTTATATCAAACACAATGTATTTTAAGATAAAATCATTACTAGAGGGACAGATGGTTCCACTATTAGGAAGGTATACTAATTTAACATTTTTACATAGTATGCCAAGGTCAAAATATATAAAGAAGAAATCATAATGTAAATAAGAAAATACAGAGTTGATAAATAAAATACCATATAGCCAAACTTATGTGGTATAGCTAAATACTAACACTTAGAGAAAAATGTACAACCATAACTGTATGTATTTTGAAGAGATGAAAGGCTATGAGAAAAGCAAGAAATTATATGAGCAACCTCAAATGGGTTTGGGATAAGATAAAGATAAGATAGATTCTAGCTCATGGCTTCAATTTTTTCTAAGAGATGTGAGTGAAACTAGTATTGTAAAACTGAGGTAGAAAAGAAAAAATCCCAGGAAATATACTTTTTTTGTGAGTGTGTGAGGAAGATCAGCCCTGAGCTAACATCCATGCCCATCCTCTTCTTTTTGCTGAGGAAGACTGGCCCTGAGCTTACATCTGTGCTGATCTTTCTCCACTTTATGTGGGACGCCACACAGCATAGCCTGGCAAGCTGTGCCTCGGGGTGCACCCGGGATTCAAACCTGGGCCGCCGGCAGCGGAGCACGTGCACTTAACCGCTATGCCACGGGGCTGGCCCCCCAGGGAGTATACTTTACTCATATCTCTTTTCTCTACTGAGAGTACTATTTCCTACTCAATGACATTATCATATCTTGTCTGTCTATAATAATCTAAAAACCTTCTATAAGATCATTCAGCTTCCATTTATCACCCCCTAAAATTAGTTCACACACCAGTCAAAGCAAGCTTATAAATATGAATTATATCATGTTACTCCTCCTTCTCTTAGAATCTAAACTCAGAGTGGTTTTTTAATCCTTGGCGACCTAGTTCCCGCTCTCTCTCTCTGAGTTTATCCCCTACTGTTTTCTCTCCTTAGAAATCCTCTAATGTAAAAGCAATATTCCTTTTATAACCTATTGCTTTTATTTATGCAAAAAAAATTGAATGTTTACTGAATGTCTTTGATTTCACATGATTTGGTAATCTGAAAATGATAGATAATTGTAATGTTAAGGAAAAACATTAAAGTGAATAAGAATCTCTATGATAGAGTTATTTATTCCAAAAGATAATGTAGAGTTTGTAATTTTAGTGACATTGGCTTCCCATTGGAATTTTACTCAAGAAAAATAATTTCAGGAAGTCTAATATAGTCAATATTTAGTGCCTATGTGTATATGTCTGTGTATTCTACGTTAAATTTATTTTTCTGATTTTTTTTACCCTGCACCCATAGGTGGTAACAGCTACCTCGACCTTTGCTTTGGGAATTAATATGCCATGTAAATCTGTTGTTTTTATAGAAGATTCTGTAGTTTTGGATGCCTTGAGCTTTCGGCAGGTATTTATACAACGTGCCTTTGGTTACATTTGTATACATAAGGATCTAGAACATCTATTCAGTAAGCCAAGATACACCATGCTTATTCTGAAACATTTGGAGACTATAAAAATATTTAAAAATGTATTTTATATATATGACATTGTATGAAGATGATTATATTTAAAGACATTTTGAATAATCTTTGACTGGCTAGATAGGTTAATTTTCTTGAGAATATTCCTGCTTTGGTGTATATTAGTGAACTTAAAAAAATTATTTGAAGAAGATGTAACCACATCTTCTGAGCAACCAGTTGGTGCCAAGCACCAACAACTATAAATTGAGTGTCTCCAGTGTTCTCTGTTCAGTTTCTGGAAATACATTGGTTTCTGGAAATACATTGGTAAATAAGACAGAAATTGTTCCTGCTTTAAAAGTCATGGTCTTTAAACACAGGCATTACTAAAAAAGCAAACACATTTTTTTGTTTTTGTTTTTGTTTTTTTTAATCAATGTTTTAATAGTTTATAACATTGGGAAATTTTGGGTTGTACATTTTTGTTTGTCCATCACCATATGTATGTCTCCCTTCACCCCTTGTGCCCACCTGCTACCCCCATTGCCCTTGGTAACCACAATACAGTTTTCTCTGTCCATGTGTTGGTTTATATTCCACATGTGAGTGAGATCATACAGTGTTTGTCTTTCTCTTTTTGGCTTATTTCACTAAACATAATATCCTCCAGGCCCATCCATGTTGTTGCAAATGGGACAAATTTGTCTTTTTATGGCTGAGTAGTATTCCATTGTATATATATATACCACATCTTCTTGATCCAATCATCAGTCGAGGGACACTTAGGTTCCTTTCACCTCTTGGTTATAGTGAATAATGCTGCAATGAACATAGGGGTGCATAAGACTCTTTGGATTGTTGATTTCAGGTTCGTTGGATAGATTCCCAGTAGTGGGATAGCTGGATCATAGGGTATTTCTATTTTTAATTCTTTGAAGAATCTCCATACCATTTTCCATAGAGGCTGCACTAGTTTGCATTCCCACCAGCTGTGTATGAGGGTTCCTGTTTCTCCACATCCTCTCCAACATTTGTTGTTTTTTGTCTTGGTGATTATAGCCATTCTAACGGGTGTGAGGTGATATCTTAGTGTTGTTTTAATTTGCATTTCCCTGGTGATTAGTGATGTTGAACATCTTTTCATGTGCCTATTGGCCATCTGCATATCTTCTTTGGAGAAGTGTCTGTTCATTTCCTCTGCCTATTTTTTGGTCAAGTTGTTTGTTTTTTGTTGTGCAAACACATTTTAATAATATATTTGTAAAATAAAACATTTTAAACTTTGCTAAAATTAATATTCCAAGCAATGAATAACTCTTTCAAGATTTTGGAAGTTGAATGTTCCACACGGTATAGGTAAGCTAGACATTAACCATTTACAGAGACAAGATTTAAAATGATTTTATTTATGTGATCATTTCTTTAGATGTCTGGACGTGCGTTAAGACGTGGAGAGGATCTTATAGGAAATGTTTTCTTCTATGATATTCCATTATCTAAGATACAAAGGCTCTTAAAGTCCAATGTGCCCAAACTGAAGGGTCAGTTTCCTCTAAGCGTATCCTTGGTTCTCAGACTTATGCTGTTAGTTGCCAACGCAGATGACAAAGAGGATGCCAAAGCCAAGGTACACTGTTTAATATTATTTAAATTAGTTTGATAAATGTAACCATTTCAGCTCAATTTTATAATAAACTATGTAAGTTACGTAAACTGAAGGGAATAAAATAACAACATGCTATAAACAAACTTATTATAATTATTTTTTACAGTATCCTTATTCAACACAAAGACATGTTTTTAGCCTTCATGTTTTGAAACATATAGAAAATTAAGCCCTTGACATTCCAATTAAAATTACCCCTGGGCTCTGTATATATTAGAAAAGAAACATTTATTTTTTCTGTAAATATATCTGGTCTAAAACATATTAAAAATCAAATTTCAAAGAAATAACCAATGGTGGAAAATGACAAGATACTGAAATATTCATAAATCTTGGTTTTACATTGTTATACCTTATGTTTACTTCTTACCTGGCATGCATAAAGTTGTAATTATTCATCTCTCCCTCTAAATTTTTCTTACCACTTTCTATTACACAAATGCACATACAATACAAAACATTATGGAGTACCTAATTATAATACATATAATAAATATTATAATAAAGCAATATGCATCGCCTAATTAAAAAATGTAAAAATAGAGGCTGGCCCTGTGGCCTAGTGGTTAAGTTCTGCCCTCCACTTTGGTGGCCCGGGTTTGGTTCCCAGGTGCAGACCTACACCACTCGTCGGCGGTCACATTGTGGCGGCGACCCTCATACAAAATAGAAGAAGATTGGCACAGGTGTTAGCTCAGGGTGAATCTTCCTCAAGTAAAAAGAGGAAGATTGGTGATAAACGTTAGCTCAGCATGAATCTTCCTCAGAAAAAAAAATGGAAAGAAAATGTAAAAATTTATTATACATAAGTACATAAGTATACATAGTACCATATTCTATATTAGAAATGTTTGTCCTTTGGATGTTACATTTAGAAGACCCACTACAAAATCTGTTTAATATCTAACTTGATATTTTGATACTTGTATGTATAGGCATTATCAGTTCTCCAACATTCATTGATGTCCTTCAAGCGACCAAAGATCGAGTGCATGTTAAAATTTTACTTTATATATCCTTTGCAATTCTTGGTCACAGAGGTAAGATTCAAACCTATTTTCACTAAATTAAGGTGTTAGTACACATATTTAACTCTATGGTCCTGAAATTTCCTTCATTAATGACTTATTTGTTTGATATTTCTGAGATCTAGAGACTGAGGTTAATATGTTAAAATTGATTTATAGGGATACCTGAATCAAGAATGTATTCCCGTTGGATATTCTGGACTTGTGTCCCATTTGCACTACCATGAACCTGCAAATTTTGTTTTAGTAAGCTTGCTGGTAAAAGGCTTATTTCACAAGTTGTGTATTCCAACCAACGTAGATGGTAAGCAAGTATTCTTTTCCCATACTTCTTAAATGTGTGTGCACTAACACAAACACACACACACACACACAGACCACACATGTGTATTTACATATACTCACACATTCCAGAACTTCACTCACTTTGTATGGTGTGCGTTTTCTCTTAATGTATTTTCAACATTTGTCTTATTTTTATATTATTAAATATGTTTATAAAAATATTAATATATATGGGGCATTTGTAAATGTGTATACTATAAATGTAAATATTCTTAATGACCCTTTAGTATACTTTAGATATTTAAAAATAAAACCCCTGGAATAATAAGCATTATTCTTCTGAAATCCCAAGATTTTTAATATATATCAATTAAAATAAATTACAATAATATATATAAAATCACTAATTTTCTCCTTTTTATATCTGGTCATTGACATGAAAAATAGACTTCTTTATGATATCCTCACATTTAGGTCCTAATCATTAGCTGTATCATAGTAAAATATGAAGGTAACAGTTCAAAGTCAAATATAAACTATAGAAATATATTGGTATCACAATATTGTCATCTGTAATGATTTCCTTTTTTAAAATTATAAATTATTTTTTCCTTTTTTCACAACTGTAATGTAATGCTGTTAGCTAGAGAGAAATATAAAGTGATGTAATCCAAATTCAAATGATGACAGCTGGGAACTGGAATATATAACTAATATTCTATTATTCATTTTATTTTCAGCAAATTATCAACTTTTGTTAATATAAAAATAACTAAAATAATATTGCATAATATACCTTAGAACTGCTAATTCATCAAATCATAAATGCTTCAATCCACATTAATCTATATTTTTTCATGAAAGGATCATAGAAAGTAATCATCACTGAATTTTATTTATTTCATAAATATTGTGTGTAATGTATCACAACCTTAAAGGAATAAAAAAACTGAAAACAATTTGCCGTGATGCTATCAGTGTAAAGAATTGAATTGACTTTTTTTTCCCCTGAAGTCTGGAAGCTTCACTCTTAGTGCCCCACATTTCTCCAATAGTGGGAGGCAGTTGTAACCTGTCTCCAAGTTCTCACATGAACACGTGTCGTTTACTCATGCGTTACTGACTACTAAGTGGCTATCTGTGTGGGCATGGCACTTTGCTAAATACTGTGGCAGATTAAAAATTAGGAATCAGACATAGGTTTTCCCTTAAGGAGATTTAGTCCCTAAAATACTATAAGGATTTGAGCTTATGAAAATGTGGGGAATAAATATCCCAGGGAAGGAAAATACCAGGAGCAATGGCATGTCAATAGGAGCAGTTGTGAGTTCTTTTTGAACTGTTACATGTGCCAAAGAGACAGTGGGTGCAGGTTAACGTGTGGCCTCGAATGGCAGATAAGGAATTTGGAAAGTAGCACAAGGCCTTCACTTGTCAGCAGGTTTTGAACAGAAGTGAAAAAACTAAGTGGAACGGATCAACCAAAGGGAATGTTTGAAGTCTATGATGGAATCTGGAGCAATTCCAGAGCTACAGGACAAATGGCTATTCCTTTTTTTTTTTTTTTTTTAGGTTCTTACAGCTAACAGTAGATACAAGGATACCAACAATCTATGTCTGTAGGGGGTCAAGTAGTCTGCACTATTATACAGTAAAATTGTAATTTGTGAGAAGTTCACCAAAAATCTGGAAAGTGAATTTTTCAAATGTGACTTACCTTGAAAGTTTAAGTTTAGATATTAAGGACTGGCTCAGTGTATTTCTAAAATGATGAATTTTGTTCTATAAAGTTTTGAAAAATTAAACTATTTTAAACAGGCCAAAAGACATTTTCTGAAGATGTGATGGAAACCTTAGTGGTGGTGTTAGCCAATCTTTTCGGAAGATGGCATTTTTCTCCTTGTGTGAAGAACTTTAAAAAGAAATTTTCTCGTTCCACGGTAAGAAAAAAATATATTTCACAACCTTGTAATTTTATGGTAAATCTTTCCATTATAACATGCAATGCAATCATATTTTCCCTATAACAAAAGTTTTGCTGTCGTTCACTAGAGTTTCTTCCTCATCATCCCTCAATCAGTTCTTGGTATGTACAATGAGTTCTTTTTTTTTTTTATTAAGGTAACATTGGTTTATAACATTATATAAGTTTCAGGGGTACATCATTATATTTCGTTTTCTGTATAGATTATATCACATTCACCACCCAAAGACTAATTATATCCATCACTGTACACATGTGCCCTTTTACTCCTTTTGCCCTCCCCCTACTTCCCTTCCCCTCTGATAACCACCAATCTAATCTCTGTATCTATGTGTTTGTATATTGTTGCCCTTGTTGTTTTTATCTTTCACTTATGAATGAAATCATATGGTATTTGACTTTCTCCATCTAAATTATTTCACTTAGCATAATATCTTGAAGATCTATCCACGTTGTCACAAATGGCAAGATTTCATCATTTTTTCTGGCTGAGTAGTATTCCACTGTGTATATATACCACACCTTCTTTAACCATTCATCCACTGATGGGCACTTAGGTTGTTTCTAAATCTTGGCTATTGTGAGTAATGCTGCAATGAACATAGGGGTGCAAATATCTTTTTGCATTTGTGTTTTCATGTTCTTTGGATAAATACTTAGAAGTGGAATATCTGGATCATACGGTAGCTCTATTCTTAATTTTTTGAGGAGTCTCCATACTGCTTTCCATAGTGGCTGCACCAGTTTGCACTCCCACCGGCAGTGTATGAGAGTTCTGTTTTCTCCACATCCTCTCCAACACTTGTTATTTCCTCTCTTGTTAATTATAGCCATTCTGATGGGTGTGAGGTGATATCTCGTTGTAGTTTTGATTTACATGTCCCTAATAATTAATGATGAACATCTTTTTATGTGCCTGTTGGCCATGTGTATATCTTATGTGGAAAAATGTCTGTTCAGATCCTTTGCCTGTTTTTTAATTGCAGTTTGCTGTTTTGTGGTTGACTTGTATGAGTTCTTTGTATATTTTGGATATTAGCCCCTTATCAGATACATGTTTGCAAATGTTCCAATTGTTAGGTTGTCTTTTCCTTCTGTTGATGGTTTCCTTTGCCGTGCAGAAACCTTTAAGTTTTATGTAGTCCCATATGTTTATTTTTTCTTTTGTTTCCTTTGCCTGGAGAGACATGGTATTCAAAAAGATACTGCTGAGATGGATGTCGAAGAGTGTATGCTTATGTTTTCTTCTAGAAGTTTTATTGTTTCAGGTCTTACATTCAAGCATTTAATTCATTTTGAGTTAATTTTTGTTTATGGTGTAAGATAATGGTCTCCTTTCACTCTTTTGTGTGTGGCTGTCCAGTTTTCCCAACACCATTTTTCTTTTTTCTTACAAATATATATATATTTGTATATATATATATTTGGTGAAGAAGATTGGCTCTGAGCTAACATCTTTTGCCAATCTTCCTCTTTTTTTTTTTTTTTTTGCTTGAGGAAGTCTGTCGCTGAGCCAGCATCTATGCCAGTCTTCCTCTATTTCATATGTGGGACGCCGCCACAGTATGGCTTGATGAGCGGTGTGTAGGTCCACGCCCAGGATTCAAACTCATGATCCCCAGGCCACTGAAGTAGAGCACAGGAACTTAACCACTATGCCACTGGGCCTGCCCCCAACACCATTTTTGAAGTGACTTTCCTTTCTCCATTGTATGTTCATGGCTCCTTTGTCAAAAATTAGCTGTCCATAAATGTATGAGTTTATTTCTGGGCTCTCGATCTGTTTCATTCATCTGTGTGTCTGTTTTTGTGCCAGTACTATGGTGTTTTGATGACTATAGATTTGTTGTATGTTTTGAAATCAGGAAAACCTCCAGCTTTGTTGGTTTTTCTCATGATTCCTTTAGCTATTTGGGATCTTTTGTTGTTCCATATGAATTTTAGAACTCTTTGTTTTATCTCCGTGAAATATGTTGTTGGGACTTTAATAGGGATGGCATTGAATCTGTAGATTGCTTTAGAAAGTGTGAACATTTTGACTATGTTAATTCTTCCAATTCATGAACATGGAATACCTTTCCATTTCTTTGTGTCTTCTTTGATTTCTTTCAACACGTTTTATAGTTTTCAGCGTACAGGCCTTTCACTTTTTTGGTTAAATTTATTCCTAGGTATTTTATTCTTTTTGTTGTGATTGTAAATGGGATTGTATTCTTAATTTCTCTTTCTACTATTTCATTGTTAGTATATAGAAACACAACTGCTTTTATGTGTTGATTTTGTATCCTGAAACTTTACTGTATTCATTTATTATTCCTATTGGTTTTTTGGTGGATTCTTTGGGGTTTTCTATATATAAAATCATGTCATCTGCAAATGGTGACAGTTTTACTTCTTCCTTTCTAAGTTGGATCCCATTTTTTTTTCTTGCTTGATTGCTCTGGATAGGACTTGCAATACTATCTTAAATAAGAGTGGTGAAACTGGGCATCCTTGTCTGGTTCCTGTTCTTAAAGGGATAGCTTTCAGTTTTCAGTTTCACCATTGAGTATGATGTTGTCATACATGGGCTTTATTATGTTGAGGTACTATCCTTTTATACCCACTTTATTAAGAGTTTTTGTCATAAAAGGATGCTGTATCTTGTCAAATGCTTTCTCTGAATCTATTGAGATGATCATGTGCTTTGTATTTTTCATTTTGTTAATGTGGTGCATCACATTGTTTGATTTGCAGATGTTGAACCATCCCTGCATCACTGGATCAAGTCCCACTTGATCATGGTGCATGATATTTTTAATATATTGTTGTATTCAATTTGCTTGTATTTTGTTGAGGATTTTTGCATCTATGTTCGTCATTGATATTGGCCCATTATTTTCTTTTTTTCTGTTGTCCTTGTCTGGTTTTGGTATCAGGGTAATGTTGGCCTCGTAGAATGAGTTAGGAAGTGCCTCCCTCCTCTTCAATTTTTTGGAAGAGTTGGAGAAGGAAAGGTATTAAGTCTTCTTTGAATGTTTGGTAGAATTCACCAGAGAAGCTGTCTGGTCTTAGACTTGTGTTTTTTGGTAGGTTTTTGATTGCTGTGTTGATCTCCTTACTAGTGATTGGTCTATTCAGAGTCTCTATTTCTTCCTGATTCAGTTATGGAAGGTAATATGATTCTAAGAATTTATCCATCTCTTTTACATTATCCAATTTGTTGGTGTATAGGTATTCATAGTATTCTTCTATAATCTTTTGTATTTCTGAGTTGTTTTTGTAATTTCTCCTCTTTCATTTCTGATTTTATTTATTTGAGCCTTCTCTCTCTTTTTCTTGGTAAGTCTAATATATGTTTTTCAATTTTGTTTATCTTTTCAAAGAATTAGATTTTAGTTTCATTGATCTTTTCTATTATCATTTTAGTCTCTATTTCATTTATTTCTGCTCTGATTTTTATTATTTCTTTCCTTCTACTGATTTTGGGCTTTGTTTGTTCTTCAGTAGCATTTTGTTTAATCTCCACATATTTGTAGTTTTCCAGTTTTCTTCTTGTAGTTGATTTCTAGTTTCATACTGTTTTGGTCAGAAAATATGTTTGGTATTATTTTGATCTCAAATTTGAGAGTTGTTTTGTAACCTAATATGTGATCTATCCTAGAGAATGTTCCATGTGCATTTGAAAAGAATGTATATTCTGTAGTTTTTGGATAGAATGTTCTGTATATGTCTGCTAAGTCCATCTGGTCTAATGTGTCATTTAAGGCCAGTGTTTCCATACTGATCTTCTGTTTAGATGACCCATTGATGTTAAGTGGAGTGTTAAAGTCCCCTACTATTATTGTGATACTGTCAATTTCTCCTTTTATATCTGTTAATAATAGCTTTATATATTTAGGTGCTCCTACATTGGATGCATAGATATTTAAAAGTGTTATGTCCTCTTGTTGGGTTGTTCCCTTTATTAGTATGTAGTACCCGTCTTTGTCTCTTATTACTGGTTTTGTTTTAAAGTATATTTTGTCTGATATAAGTATTTCTACCCTAGCTTTCTTTTCATTTCAATTTGCATGGAGTATCTTTTTCCATCCCTTCGCTTTGTTTGTGAATGTCTTTAGGTCTAGAGTGTGTCTCTTGTATGCAGCATACATCTGGGTCTTTTTAAAATTCATTCAGGTATCCTATGTCTTTTGATTGAAGCAGATAGTCCACTGATATTTAAAGTAGCTATTGATAAGTATGTACTTATTGCCATTTTTTTCTGGGTGTTTTAGTAGTTCTTCTCTGTTCCTTTCTTTTTCTTTTGCTCTCTTCCTTTGTGATTTGATGGTTTTCTTTAGTATTATGTTTTGGTTCCTTTCTATTTATTTTTTGTGTATTTATTATAGGTTTCTGGTTGGTGATTACTATAGGGTTCATATATAATAACCTATGTAAATAGCAATCTATATTAAGCTGATGGTCTCTTAAGTTTAACTTTTTACTAAAAGCCCCACACTTTTACTCCTCTCTCCATACATTTTATGCTTTTGATACTATGTTTAACCTCTTTTTTTAGTGTGTGTATTCCTTAATGTCTTATTACAGAGATAGATATTTTTAGTACTTTTGTCTTTTGAGTTTCATACTAGCCTTATAGGTGATTGATCCACTACCTTTACTGTATATTTGCCTTTACCAGTGATTTTTTTTCTTTGGTAATTTTCTTATTTTTATTTGTGTTTTTTTCTTTTTCACTTCAATAAGTCCCTTTAACATTTCTTGTAAGGCCAATTTAGTGGTGATAAACTCCTGTAGTTTTTTCTTTTCTGGAAAATTTTTTCTCTCTCCTTCCATTCTGAATGATAACCTTGCGGGGTAGAGTATTTTTTGCTGTAGATTTTTTCCTTTCATCACTTTGAATATATCATACCACTCTCTTCTAGCCTGTAAAGTTTCTGCAGAGAAGTCAGCTGATAGCTGATAACTTGTTGCCTTTCTCTTGCAGCTTTTGGGATTCCCTCTTTATCTTTAATTCTTGATGTTTTAATTATAATGTGTCTCGGTGTGGACCTCTTCAGGTTCATCTCCTTTGGAGCTATCTGTGCTTCTTGTACTTGGACGTCTGTTTCCTTCTTCAGGGTAGGGGGGTTTTCAGCTATTATTTCTTAAGATAGGTTCTCTGTCCCTTTGTCTCTCTCTTTGCCTTCTGGAAAACCTATAATATGGATGTTAGTATGCTTGATGTTGTCCCAGAGGTCCCTTAGATCATCCTCATTCTTTTTAATTCTTTTTTCTTTTTTCTGTTCAGCTTGGGTGATTTCGTCTCCTCTTTTATGCAGATCACTGATCTATTCTTCTGTGTTGTCTACTCTGCTATTGATTCCCTCTGGTGAATTTTCCTTTCCATTACTGTATTCTTTGGTTCTGGTTGATTCTTTTCCATATTTTCCAATTCTTTGTTAAAATTCTCACCACATTCATCTATTCTTCCCCCAAGATTAGGGAGTTTCCTTATGATCATTAGTTTGCACTCTTTGTCAGGAATTCTTTATCTCTGTTTCATTTAGTTATTTTTCTGAGGATTTACCCTGTTCCTTTATTTAGAACATATTTCTTTGTCTCCTCATTTTGCCTACTTCTCTGTGCTTATGTCTATGTATTAGATAGATGCAGCTACATCTCCTGATGTTGGAAATGTGGCCTTCTGTAAGAGATGACTTATGGGGCCCAGCAATGTTCTTCCCTCTCATCACCTGTTCCAAATGTTGCAGGAGTATCCCCTGTGTGGGGTAAGTGTGCCCTTCTTTTGTGGCCCTTGCTGATGGTGCATGGGTAGGCTAGGCTGGCTCCCAGCCTGGCTGTTTGGAAGGCTCAGCTGTGTGTGGCTGTTATGATCACTTTATTGGGTGGGGCAAGCCCTGGTACAGCTGGCTGCAAAGTCTAATAGAACACAGCTGCTGCTGTTTTGCTGTTAGGTGAATCAGGCCCCCAGTTTGGCTGGTTGCTAGGCTCAGGGGCTCACAATTGCTGCAGGCCTCTGTTATGGCCCCCTGTGGTCTTGGCTCTTGAGAGTGGAGATGGGTGGGGCTGGCCCGAGGGTCAGCAGCACATGATCATTTCAGGCATTGGAATGTGGGGCAGATCCCTTGTGTGGCTGTTTAAGATGTCCAATAGCATGAGTCTGCTGCTGCCAACATGCCCCACTGCCCGTGGGCCCACACACCTAATCAATGCAGGCCTGCCCCACGTGCATGCCCCACCAAGGCAGACCCACTTGCCCTGTGCCAGCCCACAAGATTTCAGAGGGCTTGCTGGGGGGTGGGGCCAGTCCTTTGGGCTGCCTGCTCTGGCTGTGATCAATTGAATCGCTGCTCTAGTGGGCGGGACAAACCCCTGCACTAACGGGCTAGAGGAAGGAATCCAATAGTGTCTGCCAGTGTCCATGTCAGCACAACTGAACTAGGTCACAATAATGGCTGCTGTCAGTGTCTCAGTCCCTGGAGGGGGTGGTCCCAGCTACTGCTTGCCTCTCTGAGACGCACTCAGAACTGAGAAATCGAGTCTCTTTTACCAATGGACTATGCACTTTTCTTGTGTTTTTGTGTTGGTTTCCAGAATGGATGAATCTGTGTGTGGGCCCTTTAAGAGCAGATTTTTCTTTGTTTGAAGTTTGATAGTTTTACTGGGGGTATTCCTCATTGGTCAAAGCCAGCAAAGCCAAGATTATGAAACTTTGTCTCAGTTGTGCTGAATCTAAAGGCTGGGATACCTGTTATGGCATTGATCTCCTGCTCAGTCCCCTCACTCCTCCAGGAAAAGATTTGTACCTTTAAGATTGCTCCCAGCTGTGAAGCACTATGGCTAGGATGTGGTATTTTCCTCAGCAAAGGTATATTACTGCCTCTTCCACCCCTGTCTGTACTGTCCTGTGTTGTGAGGGTTCTTTTTATCCAGTTTACAGTTCTCTCTCAGAGGAAATTGTTCCACAGGTAGTTGTAGATTTCCTGTGTCTCTGGGAGGAGGTGAGTTCAGAGTCCTTCTGTGCTGCCATCTTCCCAGAACCCTTACAATGACTTCTTAGATGAGGAAAAGATTGAGATCTTGTTTAAAAATGGAAAGCTTTAGGGGCCGGTCCGGTGGCGCAAGTGGTTAAGTGCGCACGCTCCACTGAGGTGGCCCGGGGTTCACAGATTTGGATCCCAGGCGTGCACTGACACACCACTTGTCAAGCCATGCTGTGGCCGTGTCCCATATAAAGTATAGGAAGATGGGCATGGATGTTAGCCCAGGGCCACTCTTCCTCAGCAAAAAGAGGAGGATTGGCATATGTTAGCTCAGGGCTGATCTTCCTCACAAAAAAAAAAAAAAAAAAGGAAAACTTTATTCCTGATAAAGATTCTTAGCAAGCTAGTAACATAGGATTTTTTGTGACAGTGAAGATGATCTTAAACAACTTTACATCAATGGTGATGTAATAGCCACAGTAACATTTATTTTTGAAACAAGAAGACATGAATGTTCAGTTTAACAGCCATTTGAAAATATTGTTCTAGGAATTCTACTCATTGTCAAATGACAAGAAATAAAAATATGACATAACTATTGGAAAGGTAAGCATAGTGATCATGAAGTACGGTAGAGTATTTAAAGCCAGATTCCTGGACTCCTTCCCAGCTCTGCCACTTGGCACGTTAAGTGGCCTTAATCAAATTTCTTTACCCAAGCCTGTTTCTTGTCTGTAAATCGAGAATCACAATAGTACCTGCTTCAAAGGATTGCTGTGAGGATTAAATGAATTAATATAGGCAAAGTGCTTAGAACAGTGCTTGGCACATAGGAAGCACTCAATAAGTGTTGGCTCTTATTTTCAAAATTATTGTTATTTATAGATGAAATGATTAGTTACTGAAAAAGCCAAAAGAATCAACAAAAAATAATTATAATTAATCATAGTTTAGTCAGTTTTCAAATGTAAAAAGACCTAATGAAATGTGTAGCTTTCTGATAGACTAAAATTACAAAGAGAATAAAATGTAAAATAATCTCACTAATAGTAAAAAATAGAAATTAGCAAGATACTATAGTTCACATTTACTGTAGTTCACATCACAACAATTATATTGATAGGATTGTAAATTGATATATCCCTTAAAAATATTCTTTAATGTAGTATTTCTATTTCTTGGAACTTATATTAATGATATAATCAAAGATACAAATAAATATGATGCAAAAATATGTTAACTTATCAGTTTCCTAAGGCTACTCTTACAAAATACCACAAATTGGGTGACTTAAACAACAAAAATTTGTTGTCTCACACTTCTGGAGGCCAAAAGTCCAGTCAGGGTTGGGTTCCCTCTGAAGACTGTGAGGGAGACTCTGTTCCATGCCTCTCTCCTAGCTTCTGATAGTTTGCTGGCAATCTTTGGCATTCCTTGGCTTGTAGACATATCACTCTGATTTCTGCTTTCTCCCTATGTGCACGTCTTTGTGTCTGAACATCCTCCTTTTATAAGGACACCAGTCATATTGGATTAGGGGCCCATCCTATGCTCTTGTATGATCTCATCTTAATTAATTACACCTACAATAACCCTATTTCCTAATAAGGTTAAATTCTGAGGTACGGGGGCTTAGGATTTTAACATATAATTTTTTGAAGGACAGAATTCAACTGATAACATGTCATAATTATTTATAATTGAAAATTGGATGCCACCTGTATATCCAACAATAAGAGAATGGTTAGATGAATTTTAACATCTCTACATATGGCAATATTAGGCAGCCACCAAAATTCATTTTCTTAAATAATATTCTATGACATGAGAGAACGCTATAGATATGATATTGAGTATAAACATTAGACTATGAAACTGAATACAACATAAATTTGTATATAAAAAACTGGAAGGAAATACTGTATACCAAAATCTTTATAACCTGTATCTCTAGGTGGTAGAATCACAGTGACTTTAGTTTTTATAATTATGCTTTGATATAAATAATAGAATTCATGCTTAGAAATATATTTTCACCCAGACTTTTAAAAATATTTTGACCTTGTGTCTCACAGACTGTGGTAATTCTCTGCTCTTGTTTTGAATAATTACATTCACATATTTCATTGTTCTTAGGTAATTCTAGATGATCTTCCCAAGGACTTTGCTACAGTAGTAGAGGAACACAATGACAGAATTCAAAAGAATTTTGGTTCCTTCCTCCTATCAATTTCTAAGTTGGCTGACATGAGAAAAGAATACCAACTACCTCTCTCAGAAATTGGTAAGATTGTGAATGTACATAAACAAAACGTGAAGTCAAAAAAAGAAAATAAATATAAATATTTTGAGATAAAACTAAACTTTAGAAAATAAGGAAAAACTATTGCAAAAAGAATACACTGGAAACTAATATAATCCTTCAGATCTATGCCATGGAAATTTTATACTGAAAACATCTTATATTATTTGGAATCAGCTAAGCCACCATGAATTTGATTCAACACTAAATACTTAAAATATTTCTATATTTCCTAGTATCATTATGAGCTAACAGAACATTGAATGGTCTAAATTTATTCTAGAATATCCTCTTTCCTATTGATGCTATTTGTCTTTTAGTAGAGATTGGCATTCTTAACTAGTTAAATTTTCAAATCTGAATTAATTTGGAAATATAAGAAAAGGAATTTTGGCATATTTATTAAGGGTTATCAGTTTGTTGTAGTTCCTTGAGTACTGTGGGGGACAACAAAGAAGTTAAGGCATGGTCCATCTCTTTGAGGCAAGGACAGAATAAATGAAAAAGAAAACAACAAAATATAAGGAAATTCAGTAGTCTATGCCAGATAAAGTAAAGACATAGGAAGTAGAGAGTACACTCAGTTCCCCAAGATGAAAAGATGGAGAGAAGGAGAGAGAGCTAAGAGGAAAATGGGATGGTGGCAGAATTCTATTTTCCCTCACTTCTAGAGGAAGCAAGGAGAAAAAAATGGAGCAGTCTAAGGACTGCTTTGATTAAACTCATATTTCTGGATAGGTTATTATATTGGAATGTAGAAGGCTTACGAAAGACAAAGGGAAAATGGTCATCTTATTCAATCACAGAATGAAAAATTAGCTAGTAATGAGCCAACGGCATGGAAAAGAACCTAAGTGTTCCCAGGGTATTGCCTATATTTGGGATTAGAAGGATGAGAACAATGCTCTTTCTTCGCTATTTTTCTCTGGGGTAATTTCTCTGGTAGGCAAGTTAATGCCTCCTCCCAAAGATGTCTGGATCCTAATCCTGGGAACCTGTGAGTACGTTATGTAGCAAAGGGGAAACTAAGATTAAATTAAGTTTTCTAATCAACTAACCTTGAGATGGGGAGACTATCCTGGATTATCTGGGTGGAACTAATGTAATCACAAGGGTCCTTATAAGTGAAAGAGGGAGACAGTAGAATCAGCGTTAGAGAGATGTGATACAAGAAAGATTTAACCTATCATTGCTGGCTTTGAAGATAGAAGGAGGCCAAGAGCCAAAGAATGTGTGGTAGCCTGTAGAAGTTGGAAAAGGCAAGGAAATAGATTCTCCCCTATAGCCCCCAGAAGGAACAAACAAAGCTCTGACTACATCTTGGTTTTAGCCCAGTGAAACCCATTTCAGACTTCTGACTTCCTGAACTGTAAGATAATAAATTTAGCTTGTGTTAAGCCACAAAGTTTGT